GAGACAGAGTCTCACTCTGTTGCCCTGGGTAGAGTACTGTCGTGTCATAGCTCACAGCAACCTCAAACTCCTAAGCTCAAGTGATCCTCTTGCCTCAGCCTCCTGAGTAGCTGAGATTATAAGCACCGGCCACAATGCCTAGCTAGTTTTAAAAGTTTTAATTTAAATGGTATTTGCATGCATTTGAAAAAAACATGTACTAAAGTGGCCAATAATGCTGACCAGCAGTATCCTGCCTCATCCCTCTCCCACCCCCAATCCAGTCTCCAGATGCAGCCTTCAGTTCTGTTAGATGATTCTTCTGCTATGCATTTCCATCTTTCTAAATTATATTTTCTTGATTTATCAGTCTTCCACATTATCTGGTGACTTCCTCTTACGGAAGTAAGCTGCGGGTGAAAATCTCTTTCATAGCCTCTCTGCTGCTTTTTTTCTTCCTTGTCCTCCCACTGTAGTTGAATCACAGTTTGGTTAAATAAGGAGTCAATTTTACATTATAATGACCACGTAAATTTTGTTCATTCATGAGTAAAATACCTTCTGCCCTGCCCACACGTGCCTGGAGTTCATCATTGACTTATGTTTATTTCCTTTATTTTCTATGTACCTATCTCTAATTTTCTTCCCCTAAATGATCCCTCCGATGTCAGACATCTGTTAATGTTTTTGTAAATATTCATAATCTTATCAATTTGAGTTTTTAATTCTGGACATCTCCATTCCAGCACTCTTTTCCCTCCTGCTCCAGTCTGCACTGGTTATTTTCTAGGCCTGGTGCAGACTCATTGCCTTGACTTCTTTTTGCTTTTCTTCTGTGTTGGGTCCCGTTTCCAGCATCCTGTGTTTTCCTTTTTCTTGCATTATTATGCTTTGAAGCTTACTTCCTTTGCTGAAGCTTACTAAGAAAAGTGCATAGCAGAAATATTTGATGTCTTGGAATGAATACAAATATCTCTGTATAGCCTCCTATTTGGTGATTTGCCTGGTACGGAATTCTAGGTGGAAGAAGACAGTTTTCTGCTAGAACTTTTATGGCATTTCCCACTGGCTTTTAGTATCCAGTGTTACTGTTGAGAAACCAAATGTGTATTTTGATTCCTGTTCCCTATGACACCTTTTTTTTTTAATTTCTGAAAGCTTATGGAATTCTTTATTCTGAAAAAAATTTTTTTTTTTTTTTTTGAGACACAATCTCAAGCTGTCACCCTGGGAAGAGTGCCATGGCATCATAGTTCATAGCAACCTTCAACTCTTGGGCTCAAGAGATCCTCTTGCCTCAGTTTTCT